AAGTAAGGCCAAAGCCCTAATAGGAATGAAAAAAGTAACAGACAAGCAGATGCAATACATTATCAACTATAACCTTATACCAAGCATAGAGTACCTCTGCAATGATATAGTCCTATCTAGAGAGATATGTAACTACCTCATAAGCAAAATAGCTACAACATACAAACACAAATTAGGTCTCACAAACACAATTCAAATAGTATGCTATCAACAATCAGGAATACAACTTAATGCACTTGTGGGATAGATAAGTAATATTTTATCTAAATAACTGGACAACAAGAATCAATCTTAACAATACTATAGGCAGCATAGCCAGACATAGATTCCAATTACTACAGACTATATACTGGTTCATAGAACCAATTATAGCCAATATGAAATATACTTACTTGAAATATGGTGCAAATCTCATACACGATATAATTTGCTACTAAGAACATATGGTTTTAATCTCAAGTAAATAAAGAGTAAAGGCTTAGCAGTAATCAAAAAAGAATGTCAAACTATTCAAGCAATCATGAGTGAGAGCTTTTATCAAAAACACTGAAGCAAGTTAAAAAAACACAACTTACTTTTTACAGGAAACTTCTCAATGGAAATAGACAAAAAACTTTACAATGGAATCAACTAATCAGAATGAATAGAACAGCAATACTAGGACCAATTCCGACATAGTTCCTGAAGATAAAAGACAAACTAGATCAACAACTAAACCTAACAACACAACTAGCTAACTCCTTACACAACAGTTTTCTTTAGTGCAAGCCAAATACAACAAGTAATATTGCTAGATCATATTGGATTGGAACAAAAATAAATGACCAACTGGTCATCGGCAGAAAACAAAGAAAAATAAACAATAAATCAGCAATCTACAAACATTATATATGTGACGCAGATCAATCTCTACTTTTAGAATACTCTGGCTGTGATATTAACCAGTCTAACAATAGTGAAGCCATCTGTAACTTAAAAGCAACAAGGCAAGCAACAATAGAAATTCCAGTCTACCACAGCAGGGTCTCAACATAGCAATATTCAAGTAATAAAGATTTAAACTTCAGAAGACAAATATCATTAAATTCCTTAATATTGGGCCTGTCAGCATTAACATATCCATTGCATACTGGAACAAACCAGAACACAGAAGACTAGCTACAAAACCACATATATAATTTCTTTGATGCAAAGGAATCAATTATAAAAAAACTGCATGATGTCAGCTGAGAACTTCAGAACTATATGTATTTTGAAATATACACAGATGCTCCATGAGTTGGCACAATGGACAACACTATATGGAAGTAGGATGGATCCTAACAATTAATAACAATAGACATTTTAACTTTCAAGGTCAAGTCCAAAACTTCCCCTTCTCAACTAGAACTGAACTAATGACCATTCTCACAGCCATTGGTACCCTTCCACATTATAACAGAGTGCAAATACATAAATAGTATGGTAGCCATCAACAATATTCATAAAACTAATAAGCTCAATACTACAAAACATTATAAAAAACAAAAAAACTCAAACATCCCACAACTTATCAAAGAAATTTGGAAGCAAAAAAATATAAAAATAGAACTATTCAAGGTCCAAGCACACACAGGAAACATACAGAATAAACTGGTAGATCAATTGGTAGAGATTGGTCAACAACAAGGGATGAAATCTAATACAAGAAATATCATAACCAAAACTGAGATTCTAAGAGAAATACACTTCTCTATACAATAAAATGAACAAAATTTGGAAGTACTAATTAAAGAAACAACCAAGAAAATTACTCAAGCAGTTCACTTGGCAAAATGAAAGCTCTTGAACAAAACTAGAAACAATTTTGATGACCATCTAATTCAGAAAATCCACTGGCCCACCACCTTCAAATACTCGCAAATTACTAAAATGAGTAATCTTACGACAAACTAGGAAGATCAACAATAAAGGAAATTTCTGTTAAGCCTATGGAATGAAAAACTCTCTACAAAAATCAAGCTTACCACAAAATACTCTCAATCTATAAAGACAATCTATACAATAAATGTGGAAAAATGGAAATAAACATATACCTATTCCTTTGCAATGCACATAGAACAATAATAGAACAACACATAATTGATAGTATTATCACAAATATTGTAAAACACTTCACTTAATTCAGAGTGACATATTAAAATGTATAAACAAACTGAAGGAAAATACATTACTGTATTATAAGAGATATCTGAAGTGTGCAATCAGAGGGGCTTTTCTCAAGGAAATAACTCAAATTATTTAAGAGACAATTTTAGAAAAATAACACAGATATGACTGTTACATAGAAATGAAAATGATATCACAATATATCTTCAAGTACTATAGAAAAGACGTTGTAAAGACTTTCAACTATGGAAAGTACAACAAGATATCACCAGAAAGTTGAAGAAAAAATGCAAATATACTAAACATGAAATCAAGCTATGGTTCAAAAAAAGAGAAAACCATATTAAAGAGCAATTCATATATTTGATCAACAAATATATGAACAAAACCATTTAGAATATAACATGCTTTACTATTTTAGAATTTTTATATAGCACTAGCCCAACTTTGGTAAATTAGTACCCTCAGAAAAGAGATGGCAACAAGTTACAAGGTAAGTACAGTCAAAGGACTGTTTCTTTATTGAACTATATTTGATAAGCATAAATAGTTATAGCATAATATGTATATACCTATCAAATTTCAAATAAAGTAAGATTAAACAGTGTTTTTTTTTAAAAAAAAAAAAGTTTTGACTATACATAAAGATATTTTGCAATCAAGTTATAGAACTTGAAACTTTCTACAATATATATACTAAATAAAAGAAAACCAGAAGCATATATATCAATCTAGTGTTTCACATGTACTATACAAGAAGATAATATTTATACTTTCCAGTACCTATATCATGGAATTGAAATCAATAACATAATTATATCAATGATATACTGTAAAATAGTAGTAAGAACTGAAAAGGAAACCCATATATAGTGAAAGTAGAAGTCATTAAATATATATAGAAAAGAATATATAGGATTTCTTTTTAAGAGAAACCATTAGCAAAAAAGTCACAGAAATCTTCAGCAGGTTTGTAACTCCAGAAAAAACTATTGAAAATATGAGAATTTATATCAATAATATCTATTTTATTGCTTATTATATATGGGCTAACAGATGTAATCACCTACAACTTTGGAAAAAAGTACAAGGCATTACAAGTAAAGATAAGAAGAAAAAAAGGGATCAGAAGAAAGGCTCTCCACAAGAGGCACAACTCACATACCACTCCAAGATCACTACAAAAACAATGAAAGATATTATTCAAGGCCTGGCAACAATCTATATCATTCTCAACCATATACTCTAATGAAGCTTAGACATGTTAGTACTTTCTCTGAAGGACAACAACCACAATGGGTATAGTATTACTTAGTGTAAATATATAAATTGATTTTTTGTTTCACTATATATAGAAACAGTCTACAAAATTGCTTTGTAAATAAGATTATATGTAATGCATATAATTAATAAAATAGGCAAAGTTGTTTGTAATTAAAAAAAAATAAAAAAAAATAAAAAAAAAATAAGAGCAATAATTAACAATATCATAAATAAATCAATAAGATATATCTGTCTGAAAAATTTGATTACAATAGGGAAGAAGATGTAAATGATTATGAATCCAATGAAAACAAAATAAAGTCAAATAATATTTTAATATGAACTAGAAAATTTATTTACTATTATAAATAAAGATAAACTAATTATAAAAACTGCAAAAATTCATAGTTATAATTACTTTAGAAATTATACGATAATTAAATTAATTTATTATTGAATAATATTAAATATATTTTAAACTATTGTAACAGATTAACCAACAAGTCTGTTATCAATACTCAAAAACTTATATAATTTATAAATAGAGGAGTTTTTTTCCTTTATTATATAAACAAAAATATACAAAGGCAAATTATATAAAAGATTTAAGTAAGTCTAAAGATAGTTTTTTTAAACTACCTACAATAAACTTTATCATAAATTTATCAATAAGATTTACTGTATCTCTTTATTCAGTCATTTGAAGAGGTTATATTTATATATTTATATATATATAAAGCCATTGCATAATCACTATGTATATTCTAGTTCATTTTATGTATAAATTATTTAATGGTCAGCTTATTTACTATTACCTCATCCTCATCGCAAATAAATTATTTGCATGTAAAATTAAAAAAAAAAACCATTCCAAAAATGAAAATGAAATGCCATTCTCCTGATCGGTTTTTTCATACAAAAACATTAAATTTCGATCCATGTTGTGCAATTAATCCTATGGCGATGCTCCCCAAAATCCATCTGTATGAACTTTGACCCTTCATTGAATATTGTAATATATATGTTGGTACTCTCACCGGTGGAGCCCGAATCCTCTGGCGTGGTATTAGTAGTATCTTTAATCACAATGGGGCTTGTAGCCTGACCATACATAGAGGTAGAGTTATCCACAATAGGACTTGTTGTTTGATCTTGTGTCAAAGTTGCTTCCCCGGACTTACAAGATGATCTTGTGTCAAAGTTGCTTCCCCGGACTTACAAGAGAAGTTTTATCTACTAACCCGGTGTACTCAAAAGTTCTAATTCATTTTCTTCATCTTTGATAGTCATGCCACTTCGTTGGAATGCTTTTTTCCCGAGACTTTGAGCCTCTGTCCCTCAGTTCTATATCATATTTACCAGAAACGACTAAAAATTCTTTTCTAATAACTTCAATAAATGTGAGGCATATAGACATGTACAATATTTTTATTTTTCCGACATATCACACAAATCAAGATTGCATGCAGACTAAAAAATACTTAATTAATAGTTACGTATTACAGCAACTATAAACTAACATGTTTAAATTTGTTTTACATATCCACATTTCTAGTCGCAACCTTTTCATTCAAATGACAAATTGTACATTACAAAAAGATTTCGTCCGTATCTTCTTCTGTCACAGGTGAAATGTCATCATCCGGCAGATGTAACCACTCCCTTAAATTTTCAGAACAATCGCCAGCAGGAATAAAGGAACGAATTTTTCTTTGTAATTTTTCTTGTTCTACAAATTCTTTTCGAATAATTGCAAAAAAATTAAAAATCTTCATATAACATGTGATGGCATCAAACGAAAATGGGATTATACATGAGGCCAGTTCAACAGCCAAATACTTTTTTTTGTCTGCTAGAGAAACATCAAACAATGTAAGTCGATTTCCTATAACCTGGATGCTATAAGTTTTAACATTTTTGGCATCTTCAATGTCGCAATCAAGATTGTTGCCAAAGAGTCGACATAGACTGCAAATAGTCATCACTAATAGTTTTTTTTACATCGCCAACCGTATGCTTTTTTGTGGATCTATGAGGTCCAGATACTTCAACGTTCAACAGTTCTCTTGCTTCTGATAACCTGAGAATGAGTAAATCTGTCTTTCGTTCTCCAATATTACTCATAAACATCTTGTTTGCTTCTTTGATTGATCTCACATCTTTTTCTACCCACATGTATTTTACATCAGGAAACGCATTGCGAAATGCGCGGAGAATTGGTGACAGACATTCAATGATGTAAGATCGTTCAAGCATATCACGATCCAAAACTTTTGGCATTAAATATTTAAACGTCGAGACAAAGTCTAGTAACGCATATCGTATAAAGAATATAAACCTATCCTCTTCGGTTGTTTGATTATCTTCAATATTGGTCTCCGAAATTATTTTAGATTCGATTTCAAAAATTTCAGAATATTTTGATTGAAATATGTTTTCGAGCTTTTTCACGATTGAATCATTCATAACCAATTTTTTTCCCATCTGGAGCATATTTTTAACTTCTTCATACGCTTGTTCTCCAATAGTTTCCTTGACAAGGTGTGTCGTTGTATTAAAAGCACAAATTATGTGTGCAGAATATACTTCATACGTTGCATTTGTAATAATGGGTTTATTAGGTGTCGCCATTAAGGTGCGTGTAACTGAACGAGTTGTTAGGCATGGCGTGCTTTCACGAGAACTAGAGTTGTTACGGACATGTGATCTTGCGTTTTTATTCTTGATAAATTTCAAAAATAATATAAACAATATTAGAATTGGGTGATTAATGAGCATATAAAATAGTAAAAAATAATTTCAATAACTTACCTTAGGTTTTTCTACGAAACCATCAGAATCTGATGAGGATTCGGCATATTCAGCATAGTTCACCTTTTTTCTCCTGAGGATCATCCCGCTTGAAGGTTCTCCTTCCTGATTTTCTGGTGTTCGTGGCTCGTCCTGTCCATACAGTATCTACGTTTGTACGGGCGACCTTCTGCCTCTAGGTGACTTGTAAACTTTTCTCGTATGATTTGATCTTGCTGTGAAGTCAATTTCACAACCGTAGTGGCGTGTTCCTCCTGTAAAAAAAAAAAAAAACAGAAGAGCAGAAGTAGGATAAGACATTGGTTTTTAAATGCTATATATGACATACTCGACAAATCATCTCCATACCAATAATGTCGTGCGTTCTGATATAGTTGTCATCTTTCGTTTTTCAGATGACATAACACTCTCCCAGAACTCCGCAATTAACGGCAATTTCTTTTCCTTCTATTAACAATATATTAATTAGTAAAAGTCAAAATAACCAAATACTAAGCCACTACAAGCTACAATTGCAAGGACGGAACCACCGCGAGCCTCAACTCATGCACTTCCTGGCCGCAACCAAGAGTGTGGGTGATTGAACGCAGGCCTCAACCCCATCCAAAGGCGATCATCCTTTAGACCCGTCCACTTACAACTGGATAGGAAAAATCATTCACGCAAGACGGAACCACCACGAGCCTCGACTCATGCACTACCTGGCCGCAACCAAGAGTGTGGGTGATTGAACGCAGGCCTCAACCCCATCCAAAAGGTTATACATATACAACCTTTCAGACCCGTCTACTGCTAGATCAGAATGAGTTTTCAATTACATTTGGGTGTAATGGGTATGAAAAATACTTAACTTGCATTGAAGCGATTTCTCTGCCAGCTCGTCTCAATAAATGTACTGGAGTTTCTTTATAACTCATTATTTCTGTAAGGTTGAGGGAATACCGCTTTTATTGAGCAGAAAATCAACGCATCGTTGACGATAGAGTAAAAAACCCATCAAAGACCAGTCGTGTTCAGTTGTAAAATAGTCTGGATCTTTTATTGAGATTCCTAACGAGAAGAAATTTTTAAATACCAAGAAAGTCAGAAGCCCAAAAACAAATTGTTTGGAGAGAGTACAAACTTACCTTCCAATGTTTCTGCCGGCGTGGGTGTGTCTGCAGTAGAGGTAGAAGCTGAGGCTGGTGTCGACGGTTACGCCAGAATCTCTGGACAATGATTGGTCAATATGAAAATGGCAGATGCTTTATCAAAACGATTCGGCACGTGAAGATGCTCCTCACGAAAAATCGATCAAAATGACGATATGCCCGTTTTATTTTGGAACATCTGAGAAAATCGATTAACATCGTGATGACATGTTTCAAAAAGCCAACGCGAAACATAAGCCAACCCTACTTTATTATTACTTTGCGGATTATACTCGTTTATTCACGGTGTAAATATTGGTAAGTTTGATTAGACTTTATTAATTTACTTGATTTTTTGCGCAAGACAGTAAAAGGACCACTAACCACCTCTCCTTTTCATATGATTTTTAATGGGTCTAAGGTTCGATTTTTGGAATAACCTTTTTGAGGGAAATACGTTATTGTTAATTTACAATAGAAAAACTTAACGTTATCCCGTATATAAAGATCACTCTTTTTTTTTTTTTTTTTTTCACGTAAAGTAGAGAAGATACGAGAAGGATCTTTTAACTTGACAGTAAACGTAATCAAGGTATTAACATTTATTTATTACTAATAGCATGTATTCTTGCGTAATCGAAGACAATTATGCAGACTAAGAATTCGTTTAATTAGCGAGAGATTATGTAATGCTGATAAATCATGGATCGCTTTACTGGTAATCGCATTGACCCATGAATGATTATGAAGTTTGGCGGAATACAAGGTGCTATAAATAAGGTTGGTATTTTTATCGTCAGGATCAATAAGCCCGCTATTCAACGTAATCACTTATTACCCTTTTATTGTTGTTACCACCGTAGATTGGATTTTTCTGGAAAATTATATTACGGGATAAATCTTCCCCGAAGTACCTATAAAATGGATCACAAAATGCTAAACCTTAGTGTATTCGATAATCATGAAAGAACGTTTATACTACGGTTATTGTTTGTCTTGTAGTTGGTATGGCTTACCCGATAAGACTACTGACTGCCCCGTAAACTGTTTTCATATCGAGGATGAACTCGGGCTCTTTTCCCATTCTAGCGGTACATTGTTTGGAATGCGGATATTTTTTGATTATCTTAGTACCGATGGGCTTATACATGACACCAATGGTTCCGTGAAACCTAAATACAGTAAAGGACACGCTTGCGAAGTAATTCAAATGCGCTTTAGATTATGGATGAAAATCCGAACAAATTCTGCCAAAATTATGCAACGGGCTATTATTTATGGCTTTTTCGATTAAATGGACCATTCGCAAAAAAAGCTTCGAATCGATATTATTATTTGGCTATACCACAAACTTAGACCAAATGATTAATATATGTTCGAATTTTGTTTAGATGCGTTAGCGTTATCCTCACTGCGTGAGTCAAGACCATGTATAATTAATAGTTTCTAGAAAAAATTATATTAATAAACTTAAATGATAATAGGGTGCTCTTTTGCCCTCTGATTTATGCCTTTACGTTTATAAAATGTGATGAATTTAATTAATCATACGAAATCACTTCTTGGCAAAAACCGTTTTCCAGGGAAACGATCAGATAAAAATTTTTTTTATTACTACAAGATAAAAAATACATGTGAAGCGGGAAACTATCTACCCATTATCTCACTATTTTTTGATAAATTTTTTTGATCCTGGCCCTCTTACTGGCTGGGGTGTTATCGACTGTCACTCGATCCTTCAACAACCCAACAATGATCTCGATTATCCTTTTTACATTACTTCGTAGTATATCGAGATACTCTTTTATTGATATTCGCTTTCACGAGCGCAATAAAGCCCATCGGTGATAAACTGTAATAGTGATTGATTTTAGTGAAATTTTCTCGGATAGGAGAAACCAAACCATTACTGACGACAGTTATATATTGGATATTGTATAGCCTGTTGTAAAGCAATAAAAAAAAAATCTTTGCATACCCGTTGACCCTATCCCATAAAGATAGTCATAGGCTTCATTGCGAAATGTTTGATCCGCAGTACGCTTCTTTATACTTGTATGGTATGCGCTCTCAAGTTGCATAATATTCTGTAGATAACCAATCTTGATATTGCGTGGTTTACCTTCAGCGCAAATGAGATCCTCTTTCCCTTTGATCGCATAATCAATACGATCTGAATGCAGTGATATATAAAGTTTTCTTCCTTGGTAATTCTTCGAACGATGGCAAATGACGCATGTCGAATGGACGAGATAAATTCACAGCGGGTCGCTTCGTTAGCATCCGTCATCGTCTTGATATTCGTCAGAATTAGTATTATGCCTGCTACACAATGTTTGAATGCTTCGTCGTTATCATCAATTTTTACGGAATCTATAAATAAAAAAACGTCTCAGTCACTTCGTGAACTCGGTTAACAAAGAATTCATTTTGCCAAGGAAAAATAACCTATCGAAATACCTGGAATGAATTGTTTGATGCTTATTATATCCTCCCCCATTAACCTTATATTTCGGTGCACGTCCTTCAACTCCTCCACCGTTTTATACGACGAGAAACTCCTTAGTTTTTGATCTAGACTCTCGATAAATTTAGCGAGTGTCTTTGCAGGACCTCCTTTCATACCATAGCTTCGAAATTCCTCTTTTGTTATATCAAGAAAAGCATAACCAAATATTTTTTCTTTACGTAAAATTGATAAAATCATCATCATCGTCCAGGCTTAAATCCTCCTGCCTCCGCAAATAATCGATAAGCTCTTCCTTTCCATTGTTCGAGTCAACCTTACTTCCGTCAAAGTAGAACAGGTGAGGAGGGAGAACATTTTTTATAACGGTATATGGCGTAACGGATCTGGTTTTGCGATGCGTTATGACCTCCGGCTGAAGTGAGATAATGCAAGAAAAATTTTTTGGACGAATCAGTGTCTATTTATAGTATATTGATTACGCAGGCTACAAAGTTGGCAGGCATACGAGATTGCGGAGATTTCGACTTTCCAAAGCATAAGTCCCTTGATCTACGCACTAATTGAGATTGTCTGGTTGACTTCCCTTACTGTCTTTTCGAGTTTCGTTTCGTTGGTTCTATAGTGAAAATAGGGATTATATATGTTACACGGTTACTCGAATTTTTACTTAGGGCGGCCGCAGTAATTTATTATATGTATTTATTAATACAGTATAAAATGGGAAATTGATTCTAAGCAACATTTGTCATTAAGAATATTTCTATAAAAAAAAAACTTCTTTCTACCCAGATATTAAAAGTCAAATATATGTTAATGCTATTTAAACAAATTTGGAAGATTATTTTTGTTATAATTTCAATATTCCAATTTATTATCTTCTTTAAAATCATAAATCCAATTTATTATCTTCTTTAAAATCTTTATTTAATTCACAATAAATTCTCTATTCAAACAAAATAATACTATTAGGATTTTTAAATTTTTTGATTTTATTATATCTTTGAATATTATATTTCATTTGACTAACTTATATAAATTGAGAATTAAAACATTGAATAGTTTAAAATAATAATAATGTAAAATAATAATTAATATATTTTTTAAACCCTAATTGAAAAGTTTTATAAAATATTACTAATGGAGTAATAAATCACTCCTAAAGTTGCACTTAGAGTTTTGATAAATTTCAAAATAGTAATGAGTGAGTTAAATAGAGATTTAACTTTAGTAACATATTTTTAATATAAGATATACAAAACATTTAATAAAGCATACATACCTAACCTAATAAAGAGTTTTTTAAAAAAAAATAATAAGTTTTATAAAATATTTCTTGAAATATTGATAGATTAATACTTAAAAACTAAATTTGATATTATTTCATTATTGATTGAAGATTGAATTATATCTAATTGCAAATAAGATTCAAGTAAATATAATTTTATAATATAAAATATACTATAGATTTGTTACATATTTTGAAAAATTTTAAATTATTGCAAATTATAATATATATAACTTACCTTTTATATTAAATATAATAAATAGTATTAAAATTTTAAATATAAAAATATTTATTGAATTATTAAATATTATAATTAATTCTTTAATTAGTTTATTTTTATTATTTGTATTTTCTTTTTGAAGAAAAAAATTTTTAAATAATGTAAATGTTTTTTTATATAAAAAAACAAAATTAAACTAAGAATTTTATTTAGTTTTTATAAATAAAAATAATAATGTTAAATTAATAAAAAAAAATAATAAATTTAAAAAAGAAATTTATCTTTTTTTATAAAAATTATTTTTAACAAAAAATATTTTAATATCTTGAATTGCAATTTTTAAAATTTAAAATAATTAAATTTTATTCAAATATTATACATTAATTTTAAAATATATAGTATATAAAATAACAATTATATTTCATTTGAAGAATAAATAAAATAAAATAATAAAATTTTTTAATATATATAAACCATTATTTAAAATATATAAAATAATATTTTTAAAAGAAATATTGTAAAAATAAATAACAAAAATTAAATTTAACTTTTTCTACTGATTCCCTGATCATATCTAAAAATGATATTTGCAAGAAGTTTATACTTCAAGACTAATAAAGTATTATCACTTTTCTTAAATCAACTTATAAATAAGATTCTTAAGAGTCACCAGGCAGAAGAACCCAATAACTTGATTTCAGCTACCAGAGCTAAAAAGAGTCCTCATGATAGTAGCATGGGGAGAATACACAATAGAAATTGGTATCAGAGACTTCATTAAAATGTTCAATAAGAAAAAAATCGGATTAGACTGGACAACACAAAAATGGATCCAGGATCTTTGGATTCAAAATGAAAAAAGTATAGAATGGCTAACCTTTTGGAACCAGTTCAATCTGATCAATATCTTCGATACCTCTTTCAAAACCAACAAAGACAAAAGCTTCCTAACTAACTTAATTCACAATGAACTTTTAATCCTACAAATACTTAAGAAGAGAAAACCAGATGTGTATATCACAACCACTTGTTCAGCATGTAAACTTCATGAAGAGACACTAGGACATCTTTTTGAATACCCAGTTACTAGGAAAGCTCAGAAGAACTTATAGTGGAAGGCAAATGAAAAGATCAATAAACTCATCAGTAAAGAAATAAAAGAGAAGAACGAAGTTCAACTTAAAATAAGTGATTGGATAGACAATTGGTTAGAAGAGATTCAAAAATCTAACAGGAGCCTTTTTAATACCATCTATGGATATATGGAAGAAATCAAAATCATCTCCTTGAAGAAGTATCTCAAAAAGCAGCTCAAGATCTCACCAGCGAATACACAGGGTATAATCAATAAACTCTATCAGAAGATGAAAGCAAACTTTAAAAAGAAGATCTGGAATACTCGCTGTGTCAAAGTAATAGAATAGGAAAAGAAGCATAATATTATAGAAGAAAACAAAAGAAACAAGAGACCGAAGCCTAGACCTGATAATCAGATTAAACAGAACCAAAAAGAATTGCCATTACCTCTAGAGGACTTGAACTTGGAGGAAATCAAAGAAATAGAAGAAAAGAAGTATACAGCGATTATTAAGAATTGGGTTTGTCATGAAATAAAGTGGTTTGGCTTTTAACTGCAGACAGAACTTAGAATGATCTACAGTAATGATCTGTAGGCAATGATTTTATTAATTAAAGGAAATATCCAAATTAGTAAAGGAGCAAAATATCATTCCCTAGGTTGCATTTAGAGAAATAGTTTTCGACGACGAGTGAGTCAGTATGTAAAAGTCACAACAATTTGTAAATACCTAGCATATATACAATAAAAACATACCATTCTATCCTGATTGTGGGTTAAAAAAAAAAAAATAAGATTCTTAAGAGTTATTTTATAATTCTCATTACCTCTTTTTATATCTTGTTACAAAAAACTTGTCTCTTAATAACCAGAAAAACAATATCTACCATTCTTATCAATGACAAGAAAGTTCTGAAAAAAAGTAAACCTGATCTCTCTATCTTCTTTTTACTTGTTAAAGAAATATTGTAGAGTTTTGTATATAATAAATGACTCTTTAGAAGACAACTCTACTATTATCTTATTATAGAACAGGCTCTAAAGTGCTTATTATAATTTTATCTAAAGAATTTTACCTACCTCAGTTTGACCCTAAATTTTGAGTAGCACTAATTTCTGAAGCAGTAATTGAATAATAAAAGTATATCAGTAACTCAAGATATAAATAAGCTTATATTGACTATCTCATATATCTGAATATATTTCCTTAATATCTATAAAAATCTAGGATTCACTATAAATTATAAGCTAGTTATATAGCTGAATATAGGATATAAATCTATAACATTATTGGCCATATAAAAAGAATAAAAAAACCTAGACTAGAATATATTGAACAATAAATATTTACTTTTTTATACTTATCTTTTCCAATAAATACAATTAAAAAAAAAAAGACTATAAAATACAAGATTTTTAGGAGAATTTTTGGTTATCTGATACTAATACATTGAAAATGTAATTTCTTAATCTATTAAATAATTACTCTTGTTCTTTTGAAATATTTTTTTGACAGTATTACAATATATAAATTTTTTAGTTAGTGTTAGTAAAGTTAAGGTTCTACATAAGTAATTCTTAATATTGAAAATGATGGATACTATAGATAAATTCTTGATATATTAACACTCTTTCTTATAGAATCTAGGGATAGCAATAAATTGATTACGAGTCATATTTTATTATATCTCTAGGAAGTGCTAAATGTGAATTATAGATAATATAGTTAAAAAATTCTTTTTACTCAATATTTTTTTTTTTTGATTCAGTAAGTAGAATATCTATACTAGATAGTTATGTAATTATCTTATCCTAGTTGGGTAAAATGCAAATAGTTTGCTTTTTATACTATTTATTGATCTGTAAATTCTTATACAGTATGGATAATTATTTATTCTAATTGTCTCTAGGTATTTTCTTGCTTTAATAAAATATGTTCACCCTAATATAAGGATAAGCTAACATTAAAAAAAAAATTATAAAAATAAATAGTATATATAATTAATTATATAACAAATAAATTATTTATAATGTTTAAATATTTAGTTCTAACAAATTTTTAAAATTTTTTAAAATTAAACAAAATATTTATAGTAATATATATATACCTATTAGTTAATTCATTAATAATAATTAAAATTACTTATTCTATCAAAATAATTTTTAAATTTTTAAATTTCATATTATATATAATTAATATAGTAAATATTTTTTTAAGTTATGGGTTGACTTCTAATAAGAGGAAATCTTTAGTATGAGTCCTTTGAAGAATATAGAGCTATTTTATTTTTTTTTCTCTTTTATAAGCTCAATTATGTATTTTTAAATATACCCCTTCCTTTTAGTTTCTTTTTCTTCTATTGTAGTTTCCAAAATTTAGTTCTTGGAAAATAATTGATAATAGTAATCTGCTGACAATGATAAATAAGTTGGGAGGATCTTTACCCAGAACTTATTTTGGAACAAAATATTATCCTCAAAGTTGCATTTAAATGCTGAAGTCTATTTAAGAATTGAAAGATTATAATAAGTGAATCAATATATTATTTAATTTAGCCATAATATATTTGTCCAATATATTGCAAGCAATTTTGTTATTTATAATTAATAAACATACTATGCTGACCTGATTATGGGTATTAATATATATATTTAATTCCCAATTATATCACAATGGCTTATTTTTATTAAAAAATTAAAATAAAATTTATAATAGTTTATAGATTTTCACAAAACAACTAACTCATCTTAATATACAGTATAATTACTCTAAATCAGATTTTGGGAACAATATTATAATCCCCTAATAGATTAGTAATAATTTCTATCTATCAAGATCATTGGCAAAAGTTTGTTACTGTTAATTGATACAAAAAACAATAAATTGCTAAATTAAAAAGGAGAAAGAGAAAAATAATTGGAGGAAGAGAATAATTTATGGCCTATCAAAAAAGTTAAAAAATAAAAACAACCTCTTTTAAAAAGGGATTTGCCTAATTAGAATAATCTTCTTGCTTTATTTAAACCTTAGAAGAAATCTTCTTTTTCATTACCTACAATATCAGATGAGTAAATTCAACTAGTTTTTTATTTAAATGAGTACCAAATTAAAATATCTCAGAGAAAGAATTAGCCAATTTAATATTAATAATGCAGGATATTTAAAAATATTTTATTATCTTACAGTATACTTGCAAAATAAGGAATTTTTATGTTTCTTTCTAAATCAAACAAATTTTTAAAAACTTCAATTGCATGTATTTGTGCATAATAAGTAATCAGATCATTATAAATGACCTAATACAATTACATCACAATATTAGGAAATTTGTGACAAAAAAATTATAATATATTTGAAATTGAATGTAGCAATACCAAGTATTAATATTAGAAGTAAGTTAAGAATAATATCAAGCAATAAACAGGAAAAATTGGCAATTTCACAAGATGAATATTTAGTAGATACCTTAAAATTTAAATATGAGACTTTGTTTAATAATAATAATAAAATAATAGATTTTATTTAGCACATATTTTGTTACCATGACATACTCTTTGTTACTTTTCAAATATCAACTTTTAAGATATAAGTTTTAAAATATAACATACTCATATATAATTATACATTAAAATAATAAATAGGATAAATAGAATTATACATTTTCTTGGTGATAAATTTATATGCAGAAAAGGTGTGAGCCAGAAGTAATTCATTGGGGAATAGATCCTCAATTAACTTTTGAGAAACCAAAGGAAGTCATAAATATAGTGATTCATCACAAAAATAGAGATATAGGGGATCAGTCTCTTTTTGAGTTTCTCTCTGCAAGAAACAATACATAAATCTTTTTAGTGCTAAAGAAAATGCCTTTGCTGGAAGAGAATCTTTCAAAAGAGGCACTGAATGGCCAATAATCGTATTAAGAGAGTTTTTGATGCTTTGGGACAATTTAGCTTTATATTTATCTGAAATAAACTCAATATATTTATTGAGTATTTGTTTCTCAATTAGTTCATAGAATCCAACCAAATGCTTGAGCTTTAAATCTGTATTTTGTAAATTAGTGAATTATTTATATTCCAAGATTTCTAAAAGGGATACCCATTCAGAGACGTATTTTTTAATTTCTATCTCTCCATATCCACCAGGAGCACTTCTGATAAAACAAAGAAGTCTTTCCAATATAGAAAGAATATCAGATGGGTTGTCAATTGAAGTATCAATTTGTTTTTGCATGTATTCCTGTCTCTCGGAAGGAATTGGTTCTTGTGGAATCAAGTATTTAATCTCTTCTAAAATTCTCACAGAATATTGAAATAACTCCATATGGTATGAGAAACATTTGATATATAATGAAGAATCCACTAATATTTCGATGAGTTTTTTTTTAAAGACAAGATGTATGGAAAGTTTGGCTTCAATTTTTTGCAAGTCGTAAATAATATTTTTATTCCTTCCAACACCCAAATTTCTCTCACTATACTTTAGAATTTCATCAAATTCATCTTTTCATTCATAAAATATGAAATTATTTTATTGGATTGATTAATGGTTACAGAATGAATAATGTATTGAGCATTTATTTCATCTGATTCTTTTAAAAATTTAAGCGATTCACAAGTTCTGGGTAGAATAGCCATGGTCTCTTGTAAAAATTCATTTTGCAAAGAGATCAAATGTTCAATGATAGCATAAAGATAAATTTCATCATCTTTGGGTTCCACTAATCCCATAATAAGTGAACAGTCCAGGTTCATATTTGGTTTATGCTCTAAAGTATGACAAAGATATCTGTTTACATCTTTAATCACAATATTCCATGCCTTCCGAAATTCATTAAAAGCCTGAGCAATATTTGCTGTCTCTAATTCTTTGTTAAAGAAATTGCAGAATGTCTCAGCTTGTGCATTCTTTCTACTTATGCGATAAGAAAGTCGTGATGATAAAGATCAAACAAATTTAACAATTGGTCAGAGATATTTTATTTTAGACAAATTATTCTCGTGTTTAAAGTACATATGAAGAAATGGATAATCTTTTTGGTTCTGAGATAAGTTTCCATTATAATAAGCTTGAAAACTTTCAAAACTTGTGATTCTGATTTTCGCCACAGTCGGGGTAAGTATAGTGCATTGTGTTGCTCATTGAGTGACAAAGATTGATTTATCTAGGATTCAATAATATTTGTGTTATTTCCTTGTGTAGCTGATGCATTGTCAAGTATAATATGAAAGTTGTTTATAGTTTCAGTTATACTTTTGGTTTGCGGTGCTACTTAATTTCTGGTGAAAATAGTTTCCCAATCTTCACGTTCATTGGGAGTTCCTAATGTAGAACCAGGTGGCAGATTTCAAGTCATTAGTAAAAGTATTGAGTGCAATAACAATGTTAAATCAGTTTAAAAGTTTTCTCAAAACGTTCCAATCATTCTGTATATGTCCTATACAATATTGTTCCGAATTAGTGGCAATTTGGTTATTCTTCTGAAGAAAGTCAGCCTTTACTGTTAGTGGAGAAGTGTCAATAATAATGTGTACAAACAGATGTAGAATTCTATATGAGATGGGTGGCATGGATCTGATACTGTACATAAGTCATTTATTCTGTGATTTTCTGATGTAGCCAACCTGATTATTACCGGAAATAATATTAAGTGATTTTGCATCTATACGACAATTTCCCGTAACCAATATATGGTTCGCACCTCCAATAATTCTTATTTTGCAATCAGGATATTTTAAGCATTCCATGGGAATGCAACAATTAGCAATAACATATTTGTAACCACAGTCACACGTGAATCTGTTAAAAATTATTGTGCATAGAAAATTGAGATTTTAACATTTTATAATAGCAGAAAATAATGATCAAGTTACCTTACTTACCTAGCAATCTGACCTCCATTCACTATGACGATATTCAATACAACTGAATCTACATCTGAAATGCACACCAGTATATATTTATTTTGACATGTGTCTAATTTGTGCAAGAGTGTGGCAAGAAGTAAGGCATCCGGTGACATGGAAATATGTAAAGCTATCGCATGTGCTATCACTGATTTCATCATTAATGTTTCATTGTCTATTTTACTAGTAATAAAAAGCAGGGGATGTCTATTTAACAACATTTTGTCGACTGTTTGTCTATAAATGGTGGGTAAGCTGTTCATTGTGAAAATAGTTCTTGAGAATTCCGCCACTCGAGTTTCATTTGGGCCCCACTCACATGAAGCCCTGAACATATAAAGACAAGTCATAATAAGTCCTAAGAAAGCAATACGTAAATACATATTTAGTGGCAATAGTTTTAAGAATGATTGAAAAACATTCTCATCATTAAAGCTATAAAGTTGCTTGAATGAATTTTCGGTATGTGCATATTCCGTAAGGTACCAGTATGGGTTAAATGAAAGCCTTTGGTTATTGTTTTTATCATTCCATTCTAATGTTAGAAGCCATGGTAAAATATATCGTTGCTCTTAACAAAAGCATTTTATGTCATCCATTAAAAATCCTCTAAAGCGTAATTCTCGAAGAAAATAAATTTTAAGAGAGTGTACAAGGTAATGTTTCATTTTCATGTAATTATTAATTGTACTAATATGTCCAAGATTCATTATTTGATTTAGCGAGATTGGATGTGTAAAATTCTCTTTATCAATCACTGTATTCCAAAGGTGACCGACAAATTCTTTGAGAAAGGCTATTGCTGAAATTTGTTGCAAAGGTTCTACTCTCGTAACAATTAATGTTTTAGCGATGGGTTTGAAGTATTCTATTATCTCTGCCATCTCTAGAGATGAAAAATAGTTTTGCTGAATGATGTCACAGCACAAGGCTGCCATGGGAGAATTAGCATTTTTGATCTTTAAGCATGTACTAATAATGTGTAATCGAGAAGAAAGATCTAAAATTCTTTGAGTATTTGTGAACAGCGTAAAGAAAGTATTTTCATTTTCATTTTCTTCTTTTAGGAAGATGCGACTTATTATTGATCCGATCAAAGGAAAATGTTCATGTGAAAATATTTCTTGATAGAGGCGTTGCAGAACAGGTAATTCCAAAGGAATAATATCCATGCATCTCATGATAAAGGTACGTCTAGTGATTAGATTTTTTTCATTTTCTTTTAAACCATTTAGAACTTTGAGAACAAAGCTCACAAATTCCACAGAAAAGATTTCGTGTTCATCAGAAGTTTGATCAAGTCTAATTATTTTCTTGATATTGGCTAAAGAGATGAACTTGGAAGCAATCAACTCATTGCACACTTTTAATAATACATGAGAAGGTAATTTAGAATTTTTCTTTAATTTTTCACTGAAGGTTAAAACTTTTTTAACTTCTCGTAGTCACTGATCAACAATATAATCATTGATTCCATTTCTACATATCTTATCAAACATTATTGTTGTTACTTCCTCAATAAGAAACTCTTCGAAGGTGTAATCAGTTATTCTCAGTGAAAATTCATGAATAATTGATAGACACATCTGAGTCAATTGCAATTCTGCTAGGATTTTGTCTGAATTTAACCACCAATTAATATGTAAAAGCACCGGGTCAAGCACTTTTTCTTCACCTAAAAGTTGCGGCAATAATAAAGACAATAATTTGATACCATTTTTTTCACAATTGCTTGCAGAAACAACTGTTACAAAGTATTAAAATATTTATCCATGTGTGGTCCAATTAATGGTTCTTGAAGATACAGTAATGACGAATAGATATTCGACTTAAACATTTCATAGGCAAAATCCTTGATATGTGAGTAGAGGTCATCTAAGTCATCACAATTTTCTTTAACCTCTTTAAGTTTATCGAGTTCCATTAAACAAATGAACTTAAATCCATCAATTTTTTTAATAAAATAATACAAAAATGGGAATTTTAAATCATAAAGATAATGGGGTGGAAGGTATTTATCTGAACCAGGCTCAGAAAGATCATCAATATCAACTATCTTAGGATCATTGAATATATTCTTCCAGAGTGAAAGCAATGGACTATGCCCTTTTTCCGGTTGATCAATATTAAAAAAGGTTTTGATGGTTGATAACTGTTCGAGTGCAAATAATAATTTTACGACTGGATGCCTGACTATGATATTAATTCGAGCCTGAAGAGTGGCTGGAAAATGTGAATATGAATAAGGAAGCCTTTCGTTAGATACAATCTCATGTTGCTATTCTGCTGAAGATTCGAGAAAAATTATGGTCTGTTCTTTTAGACATTCAATATGATTAGAATATTGGATGATTTCAGAATAAAGAATTCTTAGTATATAAAAGTATCCAATGTTTAGATATGGAAAAATAAAATAGAAATATTGAAAATATATACTGTATTAATTTTTACCTAAGATGATTGACAGAATCTTCAGTTCGATACTTTATGCATGACAGGCATCACAATAATTCTTGCCTTAATATTTCTTCAAATGGGTAGTTAGTCTTTATTATATCCATCAAGGATAAATTGGGAAGTCCGATCTTTTTGTTTGTCTATGTTTTAACTGCGAATTCATTCACTCACATGATTTGAAGGAAAAATTTTATTCCTTTTCCTGAATGTGCAGGATAGTGCATGCATGGCATATTTGGTCCGGTGTCCTCTTATATTTCCATAATTTAACCTGATGATTAATACCCGTGATATAATAAAATACTTATTATTATAGAATAAATATTTGTACTGTAATCAATGTAGCTACTATA